TTTTTTCAGCTAATTTGTAATTATCTTTTTTGCTTCATGATCTCATGCGACATTTGTTTGTTGTCAGCCTTTTGAACAGACAAAGTTTAGTTGCTGAAAACAGTTGGAGAACCCGAGATTAAAGTCGGTTTCTTCAGAAGTGTGGCAACAGGTAGTGAACGTTTGCCTTTTGCCCGAAATGGAAAGGCAAAATGTTGCTTGTTAGTGTCTTTCATTTTGACTGACATTTGCATTTTTCTGTTAGTTACCGAAACCTCAAAAATGCATGTCTTGGGTTCCTTTTGGCCAGTTTTTTTTTTTTTTTTTTGAGATGAACTTTACTTCTGTTTACTTTCGTTTGTTTCGCCCATGTTTATATAGGAGCCGCACGTGTGCGTAGTATGATAAAGGAAGGAATAAATGAACTGAAAACCATCCGTGTGTTCACTTACCATCAGGGATGGTTCCTTTTTTTTCTGAAATTTCAGTTAGTTTTCTCGATGTCGTTTTCAGATGGCTTCTTTAAAAGGTTTATAATGATCGACCAGAAGTGTGAAAAGGTTTTCGGGTAAGTTAGTGTTAGTTCAGTTCCTCTTGATGTTGGACCTCTCCTAGTTTTGCAGAGGTAAAGCGTAATTTTGTCCCGCATCTCTAAAAAGTGCCTGACTGTGTTGCAAAGTGACACATTGGGATGAGGAGGGAAGTTGCAGCTATCTTTAAAAGGTTTCTAAGTAGGTCTTTTGAGAATGGAAGGAGAATTAGTTCCGTCGGAGTGGTCTGAGATGGTCTGATTGGAATTTCCAGAACTAAGTTTAGCAGTGAATTCTTTTATTGCAACAGTGTAAAATCTGCGATCCATTTCTGGGATTCGGCTAATTCTCAAGGGCGTTAGTGGTAACAATAGAACAACGAAATGTACCACACTGAATTGATACCGGGAATTGCAGCTTTTACTTTCTGGATTATCAGCAGTGTTTAAACCGTTACTTGATAGAAAGGTTCAACTGTCAAAATAGTCATTTTTCTGGCGGCATAGTTTTCATTGCTCACGGTAAAATGCGGCAGCCATTTGGTGAAATTACTGCAAAATTTTTGTTGCAAATAAATGCAAAAAATCCACATTATCTTATTAGAAGGCTATTATTTGAAACTATTTCCTTTTAGCAACTGTTGTTTTTTTTCACATTTTTAAGTGTTAAAGTTATCTTCATAACAAATTTCTATGGCATTCTCATTTCTTCTTTGTCAAGTGGCCAAGCTTATCTCAAAGTTTCTTACTTATTAAAATTCAGCGATGAAGCGCCGTGTTTCAAGTCGACTGTTCGCTTATTTCAAGCTACTTAAAACGCTTCAACAATTGTAATAAACAATACTTTACCATACCAGGTAGCAAAACTCAATACATGACGGATTTACAGTTACTGAACGGCTTTTAGTGGTCAATAAGCTATAAGTTTAAAAACAAAGGAAAGCAACCATAGTTCTCCTATTGGTAAATCTCAAGGGACCGCGGTACAGCACTGCTCTTTATTACGGACCCTACCATCCACAGCTCTACTCTTAATAACTAGTCCTTATTCAGTTATTGCCGTTCGAAATGGCGCAATCATGAACAGTTTATTTCCATCAAATCCAACACAATGTCCCAAAAGAGAAAAACAGAAAATCTTAGTAAAAACAGTTTCAATAATTGCTTAATAACCGGGAGATTCAATAAGGTAATTAAGGACAAAACGACTAAAACACAACTGCATTGTATAATCAAGTAACAGAACTATATAAGTGTAAAACTAGAGCTGACTCAGGCAACGGTGCAGAACTAATACCTTAAATTGGTTGGAGGTACGACCAAATACGACCAAATTTACACGAATTTTCAATATTGGAGAGTACACACACTAACTCCCTCCGCTGATCTATGCCTATTTGCTTGGTTCTCTTGACCCACCAGATAAGCCTACCCTGTGTCTCGCAATTAGATTATGATTTTCCTTACTGTTATAGTACAGCCTAATTCTATACTGATGTGAGCTTAATTTAAGTTCAAGTAAAAATTATGTAGAGTATTTTGCTTAGAAGTTAGTGTCATTTTCACAAAACTGGTGAGTGAAGACGTTTTTTTATAATTAAATTGTTTTCAAATAGCAACACAAATTCTGTAAGTTGAATACACAGTTGTCAAAAAAAACAGTTGAGAGCTATTGCTTCAATCTGATTTTTTTTTACCCTGCAGAGCTCCTAATATCAGATGCTCGCATACTTACAAAAAAAAGTAGTATGGGTTTGATAAAATTTGCAATACCTTATCGCGTAATTATTCCTCGCGCTGCATTAGCGTATCGTTGTGCGAGCGTCAACATCCGGATACAAAGCATCAAGTCATGGACACATGTTGGAACAATAGTCTGTTCCAATCCTCTGTTGATAATATTGTCAGCCCTTAAATGTCGCAAATTTATTAGCAATGTTAAAATGCTATACCTGTAATAAGCGAAAAACTTAAAATTACTACAACAGATTTCTAAATTACTTTCTGTAGTTGAGAACTGTGTATACCTGTTGTTTATGTACTGTCCTCCTTTAGTCCATATCCAGTCGTCTTGGTGCTGGAATATGTTGTCTTGAACGGGACCCATATTGGTGATATAAGCTGTGGGATAATAGTTTGGATAGTACAGTTCTCCTCCTCTGTTGTAAGCTGTTTCTCGATTTAGATGCATATATCGAGGTAGTATTTCAGCTTGAATTTGTGTCGGTGGCAATGGATTTAAGAAATCTGTTTTTAAATCCTAAATATATAATTTTTGGTTTTAACAGTCGGCCCGCCGTCACTTTAAATTTCCACAAGTTCGCACCGGAATTTTTACCGTTGGTACTTCATCTGGTTGTTGTGTCTCTTCGTTGGACTTCTCATACTCACAGCTGAAGACAAACTGAAACTCTTTAAGAGTGTGACACCTTAATTAAATGTTTCAAATATGCTTTTCTAACTTTCGTTTGGTTTTCAATAATTGCTCAATTTATGTCCCTATCAAGTTTTCGTTGAATATTTTTTAAATTTTGGTTGCTATATAAAAGATTTGAAGATGGTTTTGTCAAACTTAAAAAAAGGCTAGAATAATACCTGCATTACATCTTCGCATGACATGCCTTTTGGACGTGGTTTTATTTTATCACAGTTTTCTCGAACCCATTCAGAGATGTCATTTGGTTTGTATCTTTCAACAAAAGCTTTAAATCTAGAACAGTTTTCGACAGTCGATTTTACCACAAATGGCATGGCACTTGGAAGTGTCAGTACATAGACGATGTAGGTCATTAAAATGGAACCAGAAGTCATCTTCATTACGGCTTGTGCCATATTTGTGCTGTGAACTGTAAACTGTATAGCACAGAGAGTATATCGGAGACTTGTGACGAAGTGTATGGCCTGCCGTAGTCTGTTGTTTATCTGTTATCAGTTCGATGGATCAAACTGCAATTTAATTTAGATGTTCAGTAAGCATTATTTTTAATTGACCTAGCATTTGCTTTAGTATTAAAATTGATCTGCTACGCTTAGTTGATAAAGAATCAGTTGAAAGATGGTGCTAGTTAGCTTATGAGAAGCCAGTAGCGTTGAGGGTCGCAGAAAACTGATTAGCAAGATACTATAAGTTACTGAAATCTGAAGACAGTAGTTTTATCGCAAAGATACGATTTTCTTAACGATCAAGTGTGAGGTGTTCATTTTGAAAGAGTCTATACATTGTTATCAAACATGAAATAGTTTAGCCATATTTATTCAAGCAAAAGAGAACTTGCGTTTGGTCAATTTTTGTTAAGATTTTTGCTAACACAATTAATAACACTGTTCAAATACATAGAAACTAAAGGAACAAGAAAAGAGCTAAGAAGGAAATGATGGCAGGATAAACATGATTGACTTCGCAGTGCAGCATTGACAGAAGCACGAATGATGAAGCAAAAAAAATTAAAGCAGAAGAAGAAACACACTTTGGTTACGTGTTTCAAAGGCCTATTTTGGTGTGACATCATTTGCAATACCTGTTTTCTAGTGTTTTTAAACAAATT